CAGTGAAATTGTAAAACAGAATTTGGTAGTGACATAACTGTAGTCTAGGAATGTCCTGCCATCACAGATAGCACAGCAGTAGTGCTAATAGACATAGACCAAATAATAAATGGTGTTTTAGGTTGGAATTCTTGGGAATATAAGAAAAAAAAAAAATAGTGGCTACTTTAATCGTAGCATTCACTGATATGTTTTCCAAAAGTTTTATTCAGTCACTGGTGTTCTTTTCTACTTCATTTATCTTGCTGAAATAATGTTTCCACATTTCATATACATCTTTCCCTGCTTTGCTTCTAAATTTATTGATATTCTTTGCACTTCACTTATCATTTTTTCTATTTTTGTACTTCTTCGATTTTGCTGCTATAGTTTCCCAGAACATTTCAATAGCTTCATTGATTTTGTTTTCAATCAGATTTATTTTTGACTAATTCTTTTTTTAAATAACATGTCAATTTCTTTAACTCCTCTCTTTCTCCTTGGTCTTCTTTTAATTTTCTGTTTCATTCCACTAATTTTGTCTCTTTCAGATTGTTCTTCTTTCTATTATATCCAATAGATTTACAATCTCGATTCATGGTGTCATTTTGAAACTGAAAGTTGAAGTTTAGTTACAGTTCTATTTTATTTTCAACAAAATAATCTCACTTCTTACATCTGTGTTGAAACCTGTTCTGTCGTTGGGTGTGTTCTTTTGAATTACTTGATAAAATTAATGTGAAGTTATAGTCCATGTAATGATAGCAAATTAATTTATTCTTCTTTAACGTTTGCTACGGGTTACTATCACTTGCATACGGATGTAGATCTAAGTACGCAAGTAACGTTTTCACTTTCAATTGAAAACTATTCAGCAATGGTATTGCCACTAATGTACAAATAAATAGCTAATCAAACAGGTAACTGAATGCACACGATAAACAACATTGATATAAATGGTTCACTAGCTTCTCAATCACTGAAGGAACTGAAAACTAACCGGTACACTAACCCTGATTAAGGTCTTACTCGTATTTATAACCTTATCCTTGTTTCTGGATATTTTGCAGCCTCTCGATTATTAAATCATGATTATTAACAGCTCCCTCTAGCTAACATCTAAATTAAAACACTAAAAGTATAGCTTACAATAACTTTGACTGGAACAAATCAACATCGTAATACATTTCGAATTGAAGAAATCTACTGGAATATTAAAAAAGTTTTTCAAATACACATTGTTATCCACACGATTTACTGGAATGTGCATCATGTTTGCTTTAGGAAGTCAAACGAAATATAATAAATATTATTTATAAGAAATAAATATATTAATAATTATACAAAAATATATATTGAATATACTCAAATTTAAATATACAGTAATAATATTTACATATTAAAATACACATTGTTATCCACACGATTTACTGGAATGTGCATCAAGTTTGCTTTAGGAAGTTAAACTAACTATAATAAATATTATTTATAAGAAATAAATATATGAATAATTATACAAAAATATATATTGAATATACACAAATTTAAATGCGCATTACTAATATTTACTGTATATTTTAAATATCCATAATGTTTTATTTTAAGTTCATGCATATAGCAAAAATAGTTTTCAGGTTCATCAATATTATTTACTCATTTCTTCAATGTCGATTTAAAGTCATTTAATATATTTAGCAATAAATAGTGATCTTGTTGTATTTGGATTATTATCATTATTATGAAGTTTTGGGCACTTGATAGAAATAACTTTTCTTAACTATTTCCTTTTTTTATCTCAGGGATTCCAAAGATCTTTAGCTCTTGTTTTGTATATTGATTATAATTTTTTTCCTGTGTCATATATCTTTGCTAAATCTTTGATGTTTTATAAGTAGTTAATTTACATAATGAATATTTATCAACAGTCCCTCAACAAATCTACCCAATCTGTTTTTTCTTAATTTGAGCTGAGATTTTTTTGGACATTTTTATTGGCTAAAAAGAAGGCATTTCCCGCGCTCTTTTAGCGTTAGGGCTGCGAAAAACCGATTTGAAATGGTAAGGTGATTGAAATTCGTCAGTGCATCACGAGCTCAACGGTCAAGCATAAGAAGCATGGAAGTCTCCAAAGGACACGTAGAGGTATTCATGAACAGTTTAGAACCACCTTAATAGATATTGTACAACAAGCCGAGTACAATATTATGCCTGCAGCTGCTTCAAAGTGTTCCTGGCTGCTCATCCTACTGTCGACTATCGTGATGCTTCGACCTTCCATACCGAATCACAGATGAAATCGTTTATATCTATAGAAAGCTACCAAAAAGAAAAAAAATATATAGCAGAAGCATAAAAGGTTTGCAATTGCTTAATTAATAATGACGCTGAGAATGTGGCTTTATTGATATATACTGAATTTACTCCCAGTGGGTACACCCTAGTACTTGCTAGTATGAAGACTTGAGGATGTTGTATTTCACTTTAAAATTTACCAATTAACAAAAGAAAACTTGTCTCGAAAAGATATGTCTAAAACCACCCTCCTTGGGAGTTTCCAGATTGAACTTACTTCTAATATTCAACAAATTGTAGTGTAAAGACACTCCTTGTCTCCTGAGGAATGTGTTAAAATACATTACAGATAGTTTTGACTTTATTCTCTTATTATGTATTTTTTTTTGCTATTATTAGCACTGGATGATTTAATTTATGTTGCTTCTTAGTATTCTTTCATAAATTTCACAATTTTGTTACCCAAGACAGATTTTTTTTTCCAATTATTTAATGGAACTATACTATTACCAGTATCCATTTTTTTGAGTAAGAATTTCTCCAACTATTGATCTGTAACAAAACTTTCCAACTATTTACATATTACTAATAAATAAAGTAGCACTTTATTATTATATTTGTGTGTTTTGTTTGCTTTAGAGCAAAGCTAAATTTGGCTATCTATTGTGTTCACTATTGTGGAATAGAACCTTGGATTTTAGCATTGTAAGTCCATAAACTTATCTTTATCCCACCGGGGGACTTTTATTATTATAGCTTATTATATTTGGCAACTTGTCTCTAACCCGATGCAATGCCAAGTAGTGAGCTTTCTTGTTCAGAGAAATAGCTTGATTTGCAGGTGGTAATAGGCCTCTCCTCCCATTCTTTTGCATGTTATGCAGAGATGTGGATGTGAGGTTTGGCTAGCTTTATTGTTATGACCAAGAAATCCCTATGAACTATATGAAAATTACTACACCATAGGTTTGAACTTTTACTGACAACAGGGAGGGTAGTCATTGTACCACTAAGAAATTAAATAATTCTTCATCTATGGACTGGGGAACTGTGGGACTAGACATTCTGGAATGTCCAGAGGGAATAGCGTTTGGAAGAGCTCTCATGTTGTGAAGAATAAAGAATATATGATTGACCCAGGAAAGACGTACTTCAGGTTGTGACAATACAAAAAGTAACTATGGCATTAATGTCGATAAGAACAGATTCAGTTGAAGTGAAATGGTATAGTAATACAATCTCCACTGCAAGAAAGAATGAATTCCAAAGTAGGTGTTGGGAAGGGCCATATGTTGTAATGAAAAGAATCAATGATGTGGTTTACAGAATCAAGAATTATAGGCGATCTAAATTGGTCATCCATTATGATAGCCTTTGGAAGTATACTAGTGAGAGAACAACTAACAGGGTAACTCCCAGAGAAGAATTTATAAGCAGATACTCAATCTGTTAAAGAGCCCAGAGTTTCTGTCAAGCCTATTTCTACACGATCATCAAGGATGAAATTGCCAGTGAATTCATTTGATCACCTATTTAAGAAGAACTAACCCAGCAACAGGACAGACAAGGGCAAGAGGCCATCTCATCTGTATGTCGTGAGCTTCAGAGGAGAAAACCATCAAAAAGACTTGGTGAACGGACAGTTTGGTGTAGTGTTTTATTTTTGTATTATGATTGTTCAAGGTACTACATAATCCAGGAAACAGGCAGTATTGTAAGCTGTGTTTTTCATTTTATGATGTTTGGTTGCTAGAAGGAGCTGCTGATCATAATTATGAGAACTGGTGACATTGGAACAGTTAGTTTTCATTCAGTAAGTATTTAGTTTTACTGAAGTATTTGGATCAGTGTTCATTATCGTACATATTCAGTTACTTGATTAATCAGCCACGAAACTGTAGAAGTTTATTTTTATGTTAGAATGCATGGTGTTTGAGGTTGAACATTATTTTGAATCTTATGCCTAGAAAGTACAAGTTACAATAGTGCACAAATGAAGGCAGATGTAGAAACATTAAGTAGAAATAAATTAGTTTGATATCATTACGTGCACTGGACTTTGAATTATTTTCAGTAAATAATATAAAATAAATATCCTACCCAACAAAAGTACAATGTTACAACAATACACATATTAGACATGGCAGTGAATCCCGTTAACGAAAATCCATCAAGGAAAAGTAAATAATTTCTGTTCAGGTAACAGAAATATACAAAGTGATTTTGAATGATGTCAAACAGCAGTTGGTAATCCTAATAAGTGATGAATTCTAGTAGAGATTTTTACAGTAATCTTGAAATTTAGTTAGTTTTTGACAGTTTAAAATGAAAAAAGAGAATTGATGATCGTAATCTATTGAGACAGTTTTAGTGTGACCACTGTTTTAAAATATAGCCAACGTCACATTCTTCTCTATCATAAAACCTAGCGTAATTCATACAGGGATAGAAATAATGAAATAAAATTACATTTACTATAAGGAAAGCTATCGTGAAGATTACATTCTCTCATGTAAAGTTGTATTTTCTCACAATTTGTTTTTTATATTTAATCCATGCAACATCTTCACTTTCATTGGTCAAAACCAAAGGAATACGGATGGACCATGCATTCCCAATCGAGAAAGCCAACTAAAAAGATCAAATTCCTTGGAAATGCAGGAACTTAATATTTCAATACCTGTTATATATCTGTTGTCACAGCAATATCTACATGGAATCACATATAGTTTATTATACATAAAATGTTCATCTTTATTCATTTGTCCTGTGTAAATACAACCCTATAACCATGTGGCAGAAAGACAAACATAATTAAAGATTCCTTGTAATAAAGCATCAAATAATAACCTACAATGGAACTGCAGGAATGCAATTCCACCCTGTCCAAAACAAAACACTAAAAGCCTTGCAGATATAAAATTAACTGTATGGAAATATATATTCAACCAAGAAACTCTGGCAAAATTACTAAATGTTTATTACTTAAGACATTACTCTAAACTACTAACATAGAGTTTAATTAAAGTAACTGAGGGTTAATTAACATTAACTCCTAACAGAGCAAGAGACTGAAACTAAATAATCATAATAGTGAAAAAAAAACTGTTGGGATCTATCAAAAAGAACAAAGTTTTTTTATTTTTGTTTGAATAAAATGCTGCTTATGTTTTCTAAACAGAAAATACAAGCACATGTAATGTATATTTACCACTGGCTTCAGGTGGTGTAAAGCTCATGTTATACTGTGCAACAGGGAAAGTTTCTGTGAAACAAGAAAAATGTTTAAAATCCAAGTTTTCCATCAGTTCTTGTAAAAAAGTACCTTGAAACAAATAACAGAAATAAATATTTTGATTTTGTTGATGTCTTCATTATTTTTTTCCTAGAGTTCTAGTGACCTAATTTGTATCAGTTATTAATTAGTTGTTTAACAATTATGAGGCCTGTGCACTAATGCTAGCAAGTTCACACAGCACACACATAAGTAAGTACATGATGTATATTCATGAAAACTCAAAAACTTGGAAAACACTCAATACTTTGCCAGTACAGAAAATGTACTAACTATATGAATGATAAACATAGTATTCTAAAACTTTTTCTTCAGCAAACTAGGAAGCAGACAGTAAAACTTTGGTTTTGATACCTGATAACACTGACCAAAGTAACAAGTAACAGCTGTGGAACAATAACAAATTATATTAAAGGTAGTAAGTAGTTTTAGAAGCTGGTAGTATTGAAGAGAATCATGAGTTATTAGAAGCAAGTGACAATACTAAAACAAGTGACTAGTTAATAGTTTCCTTCATTAACAACCTCAAGGTATGAACATTACAGTTAAGAAAACAAAGGATGGCAAAAGTGACATTTCTCCCACAAAGAGAAGTAATGGGGTAGATGGCTGAAAGAACTAGGGCAATGTTGAAGAAGCTATTGCATATTTGATATATGATGGAAAATGTGTTGAGGTGCCGCACCCTTGTTTCAGATGTTGGTAAATAGGGAGCACTGACAAAATTCTTAAGTTGCTTAGTCACTTCACAGGCTTGTACCATTGATTTTTAACTTTTCAATGAACATCTAAAGTCAAGCCCCAGTTACCACATGCATTTGTGCATGCAACAGTAGAAGTTTCTTTTAAAATCCTAAGCCAGATAAAATTATTTATAAAATTTCCTGAAAAGAACAGTGTTAGACATACAAAAAGTAGCAATATAGTGAAAATTTATATTAACAGCTATAAAGAACATTATTGTTTGTACAAAGTAACAAAATATTTATTCTGTTTTAACATCTTTTTAGAAAACTCCATCCCTATTGAAACTGTATGCACCATATCATTACATGTAAAATAATATTTTAAAGATTCAAACACAACATCCACATAAAAAGCACAAACAATACAGATCCAATAAAGTCTGGTGTTGTAACCGAATGGAGGGGTGGTATTCCTAATCTGCGAGCATACCTAACTAGCTCACCAAGTGGCAGCACAACATGTAGTACATCTGGCAGCATGAGTCCCAAGTCTCTAAGAATCTGGTGCAGACCACCTTCAGCCTTCAAAACATTAGAAACAAACTGGTCAAAGCCACTGGCTAGAATGTGCAGGATGGCAATATCTATGATGAACAACAGCTTTCTTGGGGAAACAGGAACATTTGAATCTGTTAAAAAAATGAAAGTTACAAGAAGTATTAAACAAATAAAACAAAGTTTTAATTATGAAAATTGAAACTTGTACAGATTGAAATATTGGTATAATATAAATACCACTAACTGAGCTTACCTGCCAAAAAAAAGTGTTGCTTACTGTACTACATATATCATAAAGTTTTTAATCATAGCCACCTGAAACAAGACATTAATTTCACTACTGCACTGTTATAAGTTACTGTGATGACAAATGACTTAATTGCAGCAATAAAATCTCAATCACAGGACCTGATACAAAAGAAAATTGGGATATAAAATATTCAATAACAATATTTAATGAAATGGGTAAGAAAAATTTTATGTAACATGTGGTAGCAAAATCAATCAGACAGACCAAGAACACATAACAGTACTAGACTGGTTTACTTTACTTTCATACCTGATTTTATATTTAGTTTAGAACATTAAATTTTTTTTTGACATTCACTCCAATATAAATAGATGTATTTAAAACAGTATTTTCTTTATTTTTAATAAATATAAAACTACATGTTCTGGTTTTTAATTTGCATTGTTTGACAAGCAGTGTAGTTAACAATCATTTTGTGAAAAATTGTTTATATTTTCCCATTTGACTTCTGTAAAGAAGAAACTGGTAACTAATACATGAAACATGTTTATCTGACAAACATTTAACGTGTAACACATCAGTCATTCTTCTTTTTATATAATACTTTGAGATATTTTCGTTTCCATGTCCTCTAAGCCTACATGTACAAGTTGTTAATTGTATTAACTACTTACACAGAAACTTTAGACAGAGGACTGTAATTCATCTTGGATGGTTTAACAATATTTTATATAGTATTTTTGAATAAAGATGATATTCTTAACTGTCACTTTGTATTTTGTCATGACCTGGTAAAGTTTGAACATTGTCTTCAATAACAAATAAGGATTTTACATCTTCCAAACATTAAAAACCATCTGTAATGCAATGCCTTTAATCATGGTGAAATATTGCATTTTGGAGGTCATTAACCATTTTAATTTTAAAAAGAATTAATAAAATCAGAATTGTAGACATTCCTTCCCATGAAATTGTAAGTTTTATAACTTACTGAGTAAAAATGATTGGCAATGTAGTATAGTGAATAAAAAAAGGAAGCAAGCCATAGAGACAAAGAAAAACTCAAATATCTACAAAATTAAAACTACAAAATCTTAGTTACAACTCTTAACAACAGTTATGTTACTTACCTAGCAGGTACACTACTATAATAGTGGATGCTACTTCTGTGATACTAAAGAACAACTGATGGTTCCATTGTTTATAGAAATCATCATTCCAGTAGTTGAAGTAGGACCACCAGGAGTAGTAATGGGAATAAATAATGGATACCATAAGGATCAGCATACTAAAACGTATCTGCTTTTGGCAAACAAGGAAAATTGTACGCTTTGTTGTTTCATACAGTGCGATAGTAGCAATGCATGTCACAGTCCAAATCTTTAGTGTGTTCATGTTTGTATTAAAATATACATGTTTGTATCCTGAAACCCCCGTTTCATAGTTAGCTAGAAGAGAAAAATAAAATATATATAATGCATTCTAGAAAAATAATATGAAATAAAAAACTATTTAATACGACTTGAAACGAAATAGTTTAAAATATAATTTACAGATTAGTCTAGAACAAATTGTGAGTTTCATTGTGTTCTAAAATTTAGCCAACAATAGTGTTTCTACAAGTAAATATTTTTTTCAAAAATTAATGTTATCAGTAATGTCTCCAAAATTCAGCCATCATTAGCATTTTGAAATTTTACAGCATGATAATCAGGGTTATGAAACCAGAATAAGTTAAAAAACAGAATTTACTTGATTAATCTCTGGCCTCAGATTATGTATGAACAAGCTCTCTTTTTATATATGGAGGATGTTTATCAAGGAAAAGTGGACAACAATCTTTATTAAACTGCAAAGCAAGAAAAAAAAAGTGTACATACTTATGCAAGACACTGGACAATGCTTTTCTCATGATATATCTCCATTGAACTATTTATGTAGAAAACCAAGCAAGACATCCTGTATTCTGAGTAAAACTGATGCTAAACTAAACAGACAAATGCTGTAATGCCCTGTTTCTACACAATCTGTGAAGTTTCAACAACATCCCCATGAGAAAAGTAGATACTATCTGCTAGAGAACAACAAAGTTACAACAGTAATTAGAACAAAACAATTTGAATGGTTTTCTTGATTGTGTGTTTATGCAAACAGCTGTTTAAAAACATACTAAATCAAGAATTTTAAAAATTCCTATGTAAATACAAGTTGTTGGAAAATGCATGATATGCCTGCATATCACACTTTTCTTGTTCCCATTTCAGGCTTGTACTCGACCCATCAATTAGTTTTAACTGTAAAACTAATCACCTTTAAACTCATGACATGGTCAAGAAAAATGTTCACTTTCTTTCATTCCTATGAATGATTACATGCCACATGGAAGATACAACCCTTAAACAGAAAACTACACTCTTCAATCATAATTTCAAAATCAATATATTGCATAATACAGAAATAAGAAAAACACAACCCTTTGTTATGTCATGTGTATACTTGGAAGAGAAATGAAATAATACATTAAATGAAAATTCATGACTGAAAAAAAAGAAAGAAATCCTTTGAAATATAATTGAGCAAATTGCATAACGATACAAAATTAAACAGCTTTTATCATAAACACAGAGATTAAGACATCAATATACCTTTAAGCAATGATAGAATACAATAAAAAAATATTTATAATTCAGTAATAGAAAGCCCATTATACACTTTCAGATAACGAAAAATGGCATACACAGACAAAAAGAAAACCCTTTAGAAATGAGTACCCACACACTTCAGAAGAGGTAGTCTAATACATTAAACCAAACTAACTAAAATAAAATTCAACAGTAGTCACTATAGTTAATACATAATATCCAGAGAAAAATCCTTTGTCTCCATGCCCTCATTGCTTATTGTTGTATTCTTTGTGTAAATGATTCATTCACATTGTAAAACACTATGTAAATGGCTATGTAATGGTCATGTACGAACATAAGACCACATACATTTATTTATATACAAATATTGCTATATATGAAATCCTGATTATACATTTTAAAATACTCGAGTTTAATATAATAGAGTGCCTCCAGCTGCATGAATTACTTTGGTAAACCTTCTCAGGTGATATTCCAAAACTACATCTCAAAAGTGGTGGTATTACCATCTAGGAGTCATGAACTTCAACTCATTTATATTTCAGGCTCTTGGTCTGTGATGAATGGATGTAGCTTATCAATGTGTTCCACATGCTTTTGCATGCCTTGTGTCCACTGTTACTTTTACATTAATGGACCAATTTGCCAGAGTATCCAGAATAGTCAAGTCCAAGCAGATCCAAATTCTTCTGTGCTACTTGTATGTACCACAACCAGACCCAATCTCCACACTGGAACATCTGTTCTTCCATCATCTTGTCATAGAACTGTGTCTTCAAACTGCCTTACCTAGTTCTTATTTGGCATACTTGTGTGCATCAAGTATCTTAGACCTTAGCTAATCCATGTATTTCTTTAGACATTGGGAGACATTTTCTCATGGGAAAGGACCATATGCCACATAAAATGGGAGTAGTATTTTTTGTCTGAACATATGCATGTTTGGTGAATAGCCCGTGCACTCCTGCTTTGTCACTCTGTATGTCATCATCACATATGACAGGTGTTTATCCCATTTGGTTTAGTTGGGATTAACAAATTTCATAAACATTCACTTGTTAGTTTGTATTACAAATTCTCCCAAACTATCACACTGGAGATGATTATGGCAAGGTGTACATCTATACAACACCCAACATTTTACACAACACAGCAAACAATGGGCTGTTGAAATTGGCTCCCTCATTCAGACATTTTTTTCTTTTCTAGTACTCCAAGAAGTGCAACCAATTCGCCATCAACACAAGGTATGAACTGTGCTGATTTACGAAGTAATTAATAAATCTTGGTCCATTTTTTAAAGTGGTTGAAAGTGATGAGTATACATCAATGAGCCCTCTCAGTGTCCAGAAGTGGATCATCAATATCTAGGACTATCCTCTACAGAGAAGACCCAGCAATTCTTTGTTGGAGTTTACTGTTCTTGCTAGTTTTTTCTTTGAGTGGCACACTATACAGTATTCATACTACTGGCAAACATCTGAGCTTGAATGTGGCCAGAAGAACCACTATCAAATGCTAGCACAGGTGTGGGTAATATCTTGGTGCCCTCCAGTATTTGTGCTATGCAAAGTCTGCAAGATATCTTGCTGTAAAACTCTGGTGATCACTAGTTACAGCACATTTTCCTACACTTATAACTAACAAGTACCACAGGTTATGTGCATCCACGCTATGATCCGCTATTGGTGCTGGTTATTCAGTTATTCTTTTAGAAGTTCCTTAAGTGTTAATCTTGGCATCCATCCACCAACAGAATCTCCTACTTCACAGTTTGCTTTTGCTATAGCAGAAATCAATTCCTACATGTGTACATGATGAGAATTGACAAGGTCTCACCATGTGGCAACAGCCCATTCACATTTCTGTGTTGCAATGCAATATGACAAAGTAACATTCTTGCAGTGTTATTATCAAATGTGCTCTCACCCCTTCTCGTTTTAAAGTTTATTAGCTACTTATGCTAAACATGGTCAAATTGGTAGTGGCAGTAATGACCACAACTGCAAGAAATTCTTATTTCAGCATACAGTACCTGCATTTGAGGGCAATGTGCATATCCATACAACTACTATAGTCATTTACATGTTGTACTCTGTCCTGCAACTGTGATAGCACTACCCTGATGTTATTGTTCCTGCATTAATTATCAAACAGGAACTTGCAATCTTAAGGCCAATCTCTTACTGTAGCTATCTTGGACATATCCAGTAAGATTTCATCTCTCATTACTATGCAACCAATGAACTCCATTTCCATGCAAATGAGCATGCATTTTCTGGGTTTCAGTTTAAAAGTCTGATTTTTTAAATGCTCTGGAATCCAATTATAATATCTTCAGCTACAAACTCAAACATCCAATTAAACACCAAAATTTCATTAACATAGGTCAGCTATATTTCTCATTGCAGTCATGTCAGTGTAAGTTCTATTAGCCTCTCAAAAGTGACAGGGCACATTAAACAGGATGAATGGCATGATGTAAAATTCATACAAGCCATGTCTCATGGCAAAAACAGTATTAGGTATGTTCTCAGAACAATTTGCCAGTATCTGAATGTCAGATCCAAAGTCTTGAACCAATGGGAACTATCTAATGCATCTCTACATCTACCTGTTTGGAGTAAGTTGAATTATTGCATTCACCCATTTAAACTCAACACTGAACCTTGGTGTACCTTCCTTGCTCGTGACAATCACCACTGGGGATGACCAAGCACACTCCAAAAGTTGTATGACTGTCCTTCAACATCTGTTATATTTCAGTGTTGATAACCTAGCTATTGTTTCTGGGAAGCAAGCACAATGGTTGCTTTGTCAGACATGCATTAATGTTCAATTCAACTGGCCATCTGATCCCTCATATACGTCAGCATGTTCAAACAACAAGCTACTGAGAGTAGCTTTCACAGTATTGGATCTAGAGTGTTCACAAAGTCCTAAACAATGCCTTCAGGTGTGTTGATAGCCACAAACTTACATTTAGCTACAGCAACAGATGAAACCCTTGTGTTTCAACTCGTATCAGTTACTTTCACTTTGCTCACTGTGTCATGATATAAAAGGCTGCTTAGCTTAGATGTTATTGATTGATTTCTTTTTATGAGTGAATATTTTATTATTGTTTAGTTTTTGTTACAATATCAATTAAAATCAGATGATTGTAGGAGGTTTTGTTAACAATTCATTGATGTTGAGATTATTGAATGTCGTGTGCAATACACTGATGTAACAAATATAGAAGGCAGACAGATGATTAGGAGATAAAGATATAAATAGCGTGAGACAAGTAGGAAGCAGCAGACAGATAACAGCAGAAGAAAGTAAAGTTACAAAAGAAAAAGTTAAGTACCATAGAAGTGATAGGCCTAATGATTGACATAGGCCTAACGTTTAATATGTTAGAGTAAGACTAACAGTAGAAATGGAGATAAAAAATAATTTATTCCCTAAAAACGAGGTTCTAAAGTAATTGAATCAGCCTGAGTGCACTTTGACAAAAGGAACAGAGGATCTTCAGAAAAAAGTAGACCAAACAATTATGGTAACTCGTGCCACAACTGTAAGTGAATCACACACAGAATACTAGTGCAATAGTAATAGAGAGGATAGTTTGGCTTGTCAACTAAAATTTTAAAGTAACTGAATATGCCTAAGTGGACTTTTAACAAGAAGAAGAGAACTACATATATAGTATTTATGATATACCCATAATCTCTACAGTGTGAAGACATTGTTGTACATACGTTCAACTTGTTCTGAATATATATATTATTTTAAAAACAAGTGAAGTATGTGCTGTTTATTCATCATTGAATTTATCGCTAACAAGTCACAGATACCTATTGTAGAAGAATCCTAAGCCCAACAACAACATAGTATTTATTTATACTATTAAGAAATATAACTAAAATCCTTTTATTTTTACAATTGGCAAAAAGAAGAATATATATTTTTCAATTCTGACACACTGTAATTATAACCATTCCAACATATAGCTTTAGACCATAATTACAAAACACCAGGAATTCATTCCATGCGAGACAGATGACTATCCAAGGTAATGCTGCCTCCTTTATGGACAAGAAAAACAGTTTATTTCATGTGTAGCTTTTATAACCACATTCTGGGTTACAAAAATACTAAACCTGATCTGTAGTAAACAACTGAACACCACAAGTGTATATGGAGGTACTGTCATTCCTTTCACTGTATACATTCATGCAATCCACTGTTCCTGGGCTCAATGTAGCCAAAACTGGATTACCTACCTGTGGAATATCACTTCCCATCACACAAGCAAAAATTATGGATAATTTCTGCAGTAGATCCATCTCTAAAATGCCAATACCAGATCCAAGGTTGAAGAAACCTACTTTCTTTCTGTGAGAAACATTTCGTAGATAGAGATGGAGATCTACCTCTCCTCTAACAGTTAGTCTATTGCCATTCACAAGAAAGGAGTCAGTATTTACTAGCCTGAGTGGTGGTCTCTACTGGAGGTCTTGATATATTACAAGGTCTATTAATGTTCTGGTTGCACCTATGTTAACCCTTGTACCCTCAGAGAGATGGGCTGACAACTAAACTCTCTTGTTTAAGAAGTTTGATGTGCTACAACAAGCCCATAACCAGGCCTGACTTGGGCTCCATTAGTTTTCTGGAGCATCTGTTACAGGGTCCTGGACCTGCTAAACTATTGGATGATACTGATAGTACTGTCCACCTGGCTGCTCAGCAAATTATGGGCACTGTTAGTTAGTTAGCATTTCTTGAGCCATCATCTGTTAGCAAAGTACAGACAGTTCAAATGCTAGTGCCCTGACCATTCACAAGTAAAGGAGACACTTTACTACTTTCCTCTCATTCTTGAACGATATCCAGGTAGCATCACTGGTTGTGTTGTGTACCCTATGAGTGGACCTGGATAACTCTGCCCATTCACTGTAAGCCAGTGTGTTTGTATCATAGTGCCAGGATATGTTATTAACCCTTGGTATGGCTCTAGTTTGACATGGTGTAGGTAGCTGAGTAGGCCTGTCTGAGGTGTAGTTCCTACAGCTGTCACTGCAGGCTTTTTCCTCTCTAACAACTGGTCAGAAAATACTAGTTTATTATAGGTCAGGACAGAGACAATTCTTTTTAAACTTAGGAAGTTAAATCTTAGGTAATATAAAAATTTCCATTATAAACTTTTTTCATTATATTCACTGGCATACACTGATAATATTGTTTAATTAAATTTTGAATGTAACACTATTAGAGCTCGAGGTTAGAAGCATCTGCTAATCAATTAATCATTGACTCAATTAATCAATTACATTCAGTTAATTGATTAATACAATTTTCTCAAACCATAGTACATAAAAAAAAAAACTTTAGCAGCAGGCACTGCCAGCCAGTTGTTTTCCTTCTCGCCAAGTGTTCAAAATTAATGACAGCAGCAGACAGCTTTAGTAGCTTTGCAATAGTTAAGACTAGGAAAGCAAGTTTGGAGTCAAAGGAATTGAACCTGAGATCTTTAAATAATGTTCTCCATAAAATCACCAAAACTAAACAAATTTGAAGAAAAAGAAAAACTTACAAGAATAAAATGAGTATATCACAAATATCCCATTATTTAAGTCTGTGTGTAACAACAAACAAATACAATAGCAATATTTTGATTATTTGAATAATTAGAATAATCAAATATAGAAATAACTGGAAACTCTAATTTCAATTACATATTTCTGGTTAATTGTTGGAATAATAGGGAACACTAGTTTCAATTAACTAATTATTTGTGTTACAATTCAGATAATCAAAATTTTGATTAATTGATCGTTGGAATAATCCAAAAGAGTAATAATTGGTAACAATAATCGCAATTAATCAATTGTTGCAATAATCATAGACACTCACTTTGAGTGATTATTTAGTTTGCATGACAATAAACAACAAATTTTCTGTTCATAGGTAATAGATTATAACGATTAATTTATTACAGAGCTCACTCTAAACACTACAAGTCATGCATACTATTATCAGAAAGAGTTCCATATGGCACCCCCACCCAAAAATTGTAGAATTGCCTGGATAAAAAAGATTCTGAAAAGGGTTTATTTTAAGGGGTGTATTAGAAAAATTGGTGCATGGCTTTGACAAGCATTTGTGTGAATACATTTGAAGAACATTATATTCTGATAAAAGTAGCCTTTTTGATGCCTTTATACAAGACATTTGTAAAGTTTATCCCCAAGAAGATTGTACATCTAATTAATGAAGTAAGTGGTATAACAATGTATTAAAATTATCAGATCATACTATTAATATGATTTTTTAATACATAAATATTACTTTGATGAATTTTTTTTAAAATTGAGTGGGGGTGCCATATGGAACTCTTTCCCTATTATCAAGCCACGTAAAAAACCTAATACATTATCTTGACAAAATACTTTTGAAATAATTGAAAATACTAACAATTGAAAGCATTAACATAGATTAGTTAATTATTTTTGTAAACTATAACACTAATAAACTAAACTGAAAAAGACATTTAATTCAGTGGTTTTCAAATTGTGTTCCATGGAACCACAGGGTTCCACAAAGGGTCATCTAGGATTCCTCTAAAAGATAACAGGTAATGGATTTTTTAAGTTATTAAATATTAACCTATTAGGTACCAAATGTATTTTCAAAAATCAAAGAACTTTGTGGAGAAAAGCAGATGTATCCATTATATTAATAAAATTTATCAAGTTGCTTTAAGTTGCTGTTGTATGAAATATTTAATGTATGATTTGTATGAAAATAAATTTACTTTTAGTTTTGAATAAATAGTTTGCATAATATTTTTGTATATTTATTTACAATTGTACAATACTGTTACAAACTTGTTACTTTAATCTAGACTAGGCTTTAAAAGTGGTTTAAAGGTTGGAATTCTGAAAGAATGAAATAAGAAGGTTCTATGGCTTTGTAAGGTTTGAAAACCACTTCTTTAATTAATTGAAAATAATAATGACAAATCATAATGGAAACATTTCGATTGCTTGGATAATCAAAAACGGTAACAGTTGGAAACACTAATTATGATCAATTTATTATTATCATGATATTAATACATTTAATCATAATTTTGACAAGTCAATTATATTACATGACACTAATCGATGCTCATAGGTAATCAATTAATTGCTCAATTTATTAAGTCACTTTGCACACATCAAGCAAGTATTGAATATTTATCAAGTCTTACCTTAAATATATTCTGTCCACTATACATGAAGGCAACCCATTCCAAAGGCCAAAGTAAAACTATAAGCTGGAGATGACTCCTACCCTTCCAAAATTTATATCTGAGTCCCCTATTAAGCTTACCATTAAATAAATAAAAAAAAAGATAAGATTTTCACGTCATGTTGTTAAGTTCCGTTACAAAGTTGTTTAGGAGGAGATTTACTCCATAATTACAGAACAACAGAAAAGAACACATTCAGATCACCTATGTCAGATAATTTGCACAGTAACTGCCACACCTTCAACAACATTTAAGAAAGTCTTCTCTAATGAAATTACAATACAGATTGAAATACAATCACATTCAAGTTAAATATAAAAAATTCACTAACTTGTAAATATAAGCAACCCAGTCTTAAATTGCATGTTTACTTGTAACTCTATCTTTATAGATCTGTTTCATGATATTTAAAATTGAGTGTTGGTATAAGTTTAAAGGTTAACTTGTCTAAAAATCATAATAGCGTTCTTACCTTTAAATACTGTGTCCCAGCAAGAACAAGAACAGGAATTCCGATCAACTTTCACTGCATATATTTCCCACAGCTTGTAAAAAATTCCAAGATGAAAAAGTGGTAAAACTATTGGCATTAATATACCACCAGTGAAACATAAAATGTGAAAACGATGGTTACGTAACCAGGTAATCACATTCAATGTAGCTAACATAGGAAAACTGATTTTCACAGGATGGACTGGGAAAACTTTTGGATGGTTTGCTCCATGTATAGGAAGAGATGCCATCATTTAAATTCCACTCTTGTCTGAAAATTAAAATTAGTATATAAAGAAAGGAAAGATTTTAATAGCTGTTATTATTCATCAGATTCTTCATATACTGAAGTTTAAAATGCATTGAGAAAACACAGTTAAAAAATATCTGAAATACTGCTGGATATTTTATTGTTGGTCAAATAAAAAGTCAACTAACTGACTACTGAAAAACACTGACAGATATTACACAATTTGTACTGGTAAAATAAATATTAGTAAGCATTAAAGACTTTTTTCCTCCCTGACTCTGCAATGTATTCTTTCTGAACATGTCTTTGTGTGTCTTTTTGCTAAGTTAAACTTGGTAAATTGAACAGCTTCTGTGTCAAAGTAAAACACTTACTTGCATTAGTAAGTTATTTCAATGAGAAACTGATTAGGTTGGTGAAGTGAGACTCAAAGAATTTTGAGTTTTATACATACATAGGAATATTTACTACAAGTCTAAAGAGGTTTCATTTTAAAATCACTTACTAAGCCTTATTTGGAGTATTTTGCTACTAGGAGGATTCCAGGCATGGATGGGTTGTCATATGAGGATAGGTTAAGATCTCTTAACTTGTTCTCTTTTGAAGGGAAAAGGGTCAAAGGAAAGTTAACTCAAGTAGATGAATTTCTAAGACTGAATTATCATATTTCAGGGTTTAATTTAGCGATTAGTTTTCTTAGATTGGCCTATAATTTAATTTAGAGCCCAATAAGGCTGTAAGTTATAAATTATTTGTAAAATTGAACACCTCGCAAAAGTGAATCTTACAAGGATTTCATTTAACTGGGTAATAGGCCAGTTTTGTTCCTCATGAAATTTTCATTTTCTATTATCACTTGTTACTCGCTGCTTTGTTCTTTACATTGTATTCATCTTTTTCACCCTTTATTCATTGAAAACCTAACATTCATCTGAGTCAGGAGATTCCTGGGATCTTTTTTTTATGAACTAGATGATGTTACAGACATTAACTAACTTTCTAACCATGAATACCTTTAATGGATTTCTTGTTTTACAGTACAAAGTTCCACAAATTAATCAGTTTCATTCAGCACACTCTGTGGTGCAAAGAGAGAGGATGAAGCTGGCCACAACACCTAAAATACAGGGATGGCAAAAACCTTCCCTGGCAGTTAAAGTGCCTTTAACCACACAATTTTTTTTCCTACACAAAAATATTATTTTAACATAGGTATGTATGTTCAGAAGAAAGCTTAAGAAAGTTATTTTTCATTATAAGATTAATATCAAAATAATATGCCTGCCTGTATGTTGTGCAATACTGCCACTAAAGCTTATTTTTCCACCAATTCTGCCTGAGATGTGTATGACATTGTACTGGTAAGGCAACTATAAATACACTTGGTGTGGTCCTTTCCAGACATTAGGAAGTGTGGTATAACTTGTAATTTTTCTAAGTAAAAGGAAATTCTTGTTGATCCACGAAGAAAGAAGCTAAAGAACAACTACTATTTAAAAGTCATCAGGTTTGCCTTTTATAATTTATTTGATGTTTGGGAATGAACTGTCCCATTACTTTCCAAAGGACTCAAAACCAAAAGTAAAGTGAATAAAACTTGTAAATTACAAATAAAAAAACTTTGTTAATTCAAATGATTCAGTATTGTTTTATGCCCATTTCAAGAAGTGATTAAAACAGTCATGAATTTATGATGTATAAAATGGGAGGTAAACTAATTAAACATTTACATTTGAATAATGCCATACATTCAAACCTGTACTATTAGTATTACTGCTACTTCTACGAGTATTTTATCAAGATCATGAAATGAAATAAACCAACCAACCATGTTGAGAAATTCATGACATATATATATATATATATGGTTTAACACAAGAAAAGGTTTTGCTTTCTGTGGAACTTTCACTAATGAACAACAGTTCATCACCAGAATAGCCATTTGAACTCAAAATGACACTAGAACAAAATTTGCCACTTAAGTGCTACCACTTATAGTGATTTGTATTGGCAACTACTGAGCAGAACAAGATGACTCTCTCACTGATGTGACATCAGAGTTATGCATTTTCAACCATCTTTAAATGGGTTTTTCACTATCAAACTGCAAGTTGTTGAAAATTAAAACATCTTCAAAATAGTCATAGATATACGTTTACTAAATGATGCATATACAGTTCTTTGCATTTTAGCTATCCATTAATGAAAAAATATACTGCACTTTAACAGAAATATCCTTGAATCCAAAATAGAGATGGCATACCTCATGGTTTCGAGACCGAATTAACCATTTCACGCATAAAAATCAGCCAAACGTGAAAAAAAACCTTTAATGATCACGTATTCAATCAAATTCCTAATCACTCAAGTCCTTTCCTTGTTAAAATGGATTAACTAGGTATACTGTATTACAATTTGATGCTATAATTTGTTTATATCACTCTTGGATACTGCTCTTTATCTGTTTCTCTTTTGTGAATTCTAGACAATTTGTGCTTGCATATGAATGTACTTTCTTATGTTGGCTATTGTACATTGGAAGAGCTCTTTCAGAGGATTAGAGATAGAAACAGACTTGTGTCATGATATAAAAAGACTGTTTATTTTGGATATTACTGATTAATTTATTTTTGTGAGTGAATGTTTTATTATTGTTTAATTTTTGTTATAATAAGAGTTAACAGCAAAAAAAGAGTAAAGTTACAGTCCAAGGGAAAGTTTGGCATGAAGTCATATACCACAGAAGTGATAGGCCTAATGTTTAATATGTTAGAGCAAGACTAACAGTACAAAAGGAGAAAAGAAAAATAATCTATTCCATCAAAGCGTGGTTCTAAAGTAATTGAATCACCGTGAGTGCACTTTGACAAACAGAACAGAGAATATTTAGAAGACCAAATGATTATGGTAACTTGTGCCATAATTGTAAGTGAATCATACATAGAATACAAGCGTGATAGTAACAGAGAAGATAGTTTGGCTTGTCAACTGCAATTCTAAAGTAATTGAATAGGCCTAAGTGGACTTTTAACAACAAGAAGAGAACTACATATATAGTGTTTATGATATGCCTATAATCTCTATAAGTGTGAAGACTTTGTTGTACATATGTGTAACTTATTCCGAATATATGTATTATTTTGAAAACAAGTGAAGTGCGTGCTGTTTCTTTGTCATTGAATTTATCGCTAACAAGTCACAGACACCTACTATAGAAGAATCCTAAGCCCAATAACAACATAGTTTATATTTATACTAATCAGAAATATAAGTAAAAGCCTTTTATTTTAACAGTTGATGAAAAAGAAGAATATATATATTTTGACAACTTGTTGCCTTTTTAGTATTGGTCCATTGGGGGCAGGGGTCAATTATTTAGGGTCTAAGCAGGATATGCTTGAAGCAAAACAGGAGGTTTGGTTAGACATGTAAGACATTTTTCAGGGTAAGGAAGAATTGTATGCTATACATGGGTTTACTTAAACAGGCTAGGTAGATAGGTGTTTGTGATAGCTCTAAAAACCTTCACTTTCATTGGTCATAACTAAAGGAATATGGATGGACCATGCATTCCCAATCGGGACAGCCAACTAAAAAGATAAATTCCTTGGGAATGTAATATTGCAATCCCTGTCATAGCTATAATGTTTTATATCTTGTGATGTACTTCATCTCTTACATAGAGACCCACTCCACTTGCTTTTAAAATATGTCAACTAATCTAACCTAGTTTCAGTAGTTCCTGTTATATCATAATTTAACCTTTCAACTTGATCTTTAACCTCATCTATTGTGTGTTCTTAAATTACTATCAAAATATCATTAACAGTGAGGGTACCCAACTGATGAAACAATGCATTCTAATCTTTATAAGTATAAATGTAAGAAAAGTATAATTAGCTATACTAATTGCCAGGGTAATTTTTAATTGTTGCTAAGTGCATAACTTTCTCTGATCAACGTTAATATTAATTCCTAACATTGGAATAATACGAAGTTTATTTTTGAATTGACTATGTTTATTTTTTAAATGTGATATACTTATCTTCAAAACTATTATTTAACTCCTGCTCTAAATCTTTTCCAGCTATCTTAATAACTTATTTATTCCCTCCTAAACCTCCTTACCACTATGCAAATTGAAACTATATTGCATGGATTATATAACAAAATTCATGAGGTAATGCAACTTTGCATGAGGGAATATAATCTTCCTGATACTTTCCCTCGAGTGAATGTAATTTTATTTCATTATTCCTGTATCTGTATGAGGTTGAACTTAAATGGGTAAGAATTAGCGTTTCATGTGTAGGAAGACATTAACTGACAACTGGTTAGACATATGATATCCAGGAGAAACTCTACAACAAGATTAGGGTTGACGAGCCCTGGAATAGGCAAAAGGCATTGTTAATACTGGATATCACGGAGAGTGTGTGGTTGAGATACCATGAATTCTTCTTTTCTTTCTCTCATAAGTTCATAGAAGTAGCAAGGCTAATAAAGCAATAATTATTGGAGGCATTAATTATAAAGTTCACCACAATATGAACTTTATATTAAACTTGTGAGATAGCAAATTCTAATCTGACTCTGTTATGGTTTTATTTACCATTCACTTACAATTCCTTCTATCATTTAGATCAACTATATATTTTTAATTATATTAAAGTACTAACCTTCCATGTAGAGCACACTGATTTTAAGTATGTATGTATTATGAAACTGACACCAGTTTCCCCTAGCTGTGATGTACAGATATTGATGTTGTAAAAGATTATGTAGATATATGGTAATAGCTAGTCACGAGATATTAAAAGTGATTTTGTTTAACCCTGGTTGTAGTGGAGTGTTGTTTAGTCCATTATAAACTAATAATATAGCATCTTGTCATTATTCTCAATCTATTTACTTCATCTTGTGTAAGTCAGTGTTCTTGCAAATTTAGCCATTGAAAACGTATTGAAACAAATTGTCACTTGAAAGTAACTTGTTTTTGTGTCTCAAAGACATCACTAAATAAATGTGAATACTGGCAAAAGGAGGAAGCATGATAGCCTCAAGTTGGGAAAATGTACAGCAAAATTTTAATAAATGTTTTATATCAAATGTTAAACATTTGTCACATATTCAACTAACAGTACTTACACACTTTATGTTTTGCCATCTTGATAGCAAGAAACTTCCTAACAAATACTTTTGGATTTCTACAAACAGATACGCCTTTGTTTTATTAAGTAAGGAACAAAATATCATTACAAAAAGCTCATTTAAATACATAAGAAGTGATACAGGATGCTGAAGATCACCAAAGCTCATAACTTTCACTGACTACTGTGTTAGTCTTCCATATCTTAAACTTGTCTCCTAGTTTTCCATTCTGGATTTATGGATTACAAATCTCTAACACTCTTAAAATCCTAAATCATGTTCACTCAAGCCCTTCTCTTTTCCAGTAAAAATATGTTAAGAGATTTTAACTTATCCAAAACAATAACCCTTTCAATCTTGGAATCTTTCTGGTAGCTAATCTCTGAACTCGCCCCAACAACCTTCTTACATAAAGTGACTGTAACTCAATATTCCAAATAAGGTTGAACCAACATCTTATACAATGAACTGATAACTTCTTTAAACCTGCATTACACATTACTGTCTATACCATTTCAAATCCTGTTTGGCTTATTACCAGCTAAAATATATTACCTAAAACTAAAAGGTTCTAGAGATTTTGTAATAGCTATGCTCAGGTTTTTTCCTCATCATATTCACCTTGAGCTTCTCCTGCTAGGTTGTAAGGTTAATTAATGTTATTATAACCAATATGAATAACTTTACTTTTTATTAAGGTTAAAAACCATTTGTATTTACCCAAATTTATCAAGCAGTTGAAACCTTTCTGCAAAACTGAAAATCTTTATTTTAATTTGAAATACCCATTAATTTAATATTTGCAAATATAACTAATTTAATGGTTATTTCTTTATCAATGTAATTAATATTAATAATGAAAATAAGAAATAGCAAAGGACTTAGTACAAAAAAATGAAATACACCACTTGTAACATTAATCCACTATAGTTTCAACTTTCATATCATTTATAACAAGCTTCTGCCTCCTACTAACTAACCATTTTACTAGATCACTGAATCAGTCAATATTCTCTCTTACTCTTAAAAAAGAATACTACAAACTACACAGTATTCCAGTGGATGTCTAACTAGTGATAAGCATAAAGGTAATGCTTTTTGTCTCTAAATACACCTTAATATTCTATTAACTTTATGACTGGATTTTGACTTTGAGTGACTTATCCACACTAAACCATTATATTTGTGATTCTATTTTATAGTATATATATATATTCATAAATATTAGAAGGCATTGTTTCATCACTTGGGTACCCTCACTGTTTACGATATTTTCAGCCCTAATAATAATATAGACGAGAACCAAAAGAATTGCATGATTGAAGTAATGGATCTTGGCATCGATGTGCGTGTGTTGAAACGTAAAAGAAGTATACTTAATTAGCTATACTGATAGCTAGGTTGGATCCGAGTTGCGCTCTAACGAGTCTAAATCTAGCTTCAAGTCTAAGTATATATCTCACTTTGATCTTATCATTAATCGTGTAATCCACATTATGATAACTCAAAGGCAAGATCTTGCACTTATTATAAGTATAAATATAATTTAAAGCAAATTACTAAATCTTTGTCCAACATACCAACTGAGCCAAACCATTTCGTAATATTATAATAGTAACAGTATATTGATACCCCAGTAGAGCTAGAATTTAGAAATAACCAGAAGTTAATGTCATCAGCAAACTATACTAGATTACTAATTATGCATCTTTTAATATTACTGATGTAAATAATAATAAAAAAAAACGCAAACACTGACCAACGATGGTTCAGTTTGATATGCTACCCAGTCTATACTACAGTTAAGTTATATTTTTCTAAAAAAGTAACGCTAAGGCTAATAAGATTAACAACTGAGTTGCCATCTGCAATGGTGGAACTTGGCACTTCACAAGTTTCAGCGGAGATGGAGTGGCGATTGCCTTAAGTAAAAATAAATTGTAGACTTAATTTTTGACTTTACTCAGGAAGAAGTTCCCAATACTAAATAGCTTTAAAATTAAACTAATCAAATGGTCTCTTCTTGTATGCATGTTATTTTATAATAAATACTAAACCCATCTTTAGATTTAATAAGAGTTGTTTTCCTGGTTTCCGGAAGGTAATCTTTCGATAACAGCAAATAATTATGAAGGTGAAAGATTCTATGGCTGATCAGAGTGTTTATTGTTAAGCTCGAAGGCATAAAACGGGCTACCTGTTTTATACCCGCCAAGGGTATCGAAACCCGTTATTTATCATCATAAGCATCCAGCTTACTGATAAGTCACCAGGGCAAGAAATATTCATCAGTTTGATCAAACTAGCTAAAAGGGTACTCCTTCCAAAATCTTGTATTTCGACAAAAATTTCCATTCCTTACAAACAAGAATATGTTTTTGTTTTTTTGTTGTTAAACACAAAGCTACACAATGTACTCTGGCCATCGCAGGTATCGAAACCCAATTTTTAGCTTTATAAGCCCACAAATTTGCCAATGAGTTAATGAATCCGAAAAAAATATTTTATTTTTTGAAAACATCACTCACTGTACGAAAATGAAGGATACTTGTTTGTTTGTTGTTAAGCGCAAAGCTACATAATGGGCGATCTGTGCTCTGCTCACCACGGGTATCGAAACTTGGTTTCTAATAGTATAAGTCCACAGATATATCGCTGTGCCACTGGAAACATGAAGGATACTAAAAGATGGGTCTGTATATGGAAAAAATTTAGCCTGATTATCAAACTAGGCATATTTTTAGGAACTTCTAGCGCACAACCTTATTTATGTTACATCATACATTACTTATAGAAGAACAAAAAACATTGCTTAAAATTAAATTTTAAAAAGCTACACAACGGCTATCTGTACTAGCCATTT